ATAATATATAGATCTTATAATACAAAAGTGAAAAACATTAGAGAAGAAAAAAAGAGAAAGTACAGAAATCAGTGATCAGAGTAAATATTTATATATATATATATTAAAGCTTCAGAGTGAAAGAATAGAAATTCTGTGAGTTTTTCAGCTAAGAATTAGTAACTGAGAATTGAAGCTTTCAGCGAAATCTATAAAGTGTAATGAAATAGTCTATATAATTGATCAGACGCAGCCCGTCATATTTAAATATTAATATTTTAATAAATATTCATTATTTTAATTATTTAATTTGTAATTTATAACTATAAAAACTTGTAATATAATATAATTCAAAATTATTATAATGTAGTTAAAATTGATTAAAATATAAATTAAATTATAAAATAAAATACAGTAAAATAAAATATATAATATTTTATTATAAATTAAGAAATATGTATTATATATTATTGAAACTAATAATTATTATATAAATATATTATAATTTAATAAATATTAAATTATTTTATAGAAGAATTTTATATTTTAATTTTTAAGAATTTTTTTATTTTTTTATTATAATTCTTTTTATAAATTATAAATAAATTATTAAAAATTCTTGAAATTTTAATCTTTAAAAAATAATTTATTAAATATAAATATATTTAAATAATTTAATATAGTAATTTATTTAAATTATAATTTTAAAGTATAAATAATACATAGTTATTATAAAAATAATATTTTAAAATATAAAAATTTATATAAAAATTTAAATAAATAAATAATAAATAAGAATTTCAAAATAAAAGTTTATATTTTATTAAAAATATATATAATCTATAAGATATTTAATTGTTATATAAAAATAATTTACATTTATAAATATATTTATAAATATAAACTTTATATAATGATGTGATAGTTGACTGAAGGCTGTAAATGACTGTTTTCACTGCTGCTTTCAGCCTCTTACTAACTGCTCAATCTCAATCATTACATGAATCTATTCTCACAGCCGCGACCCTTCCCTCCACACGTGGCCACAATTTTAGAAGTGTATTTTCATAACTTTCAGTTACTCTCACTCACTCTCACTCACTCACTGCTCTTTCTTTGAAAGAGAAGAGAAGCTGTTTTTGACACTTCACTCTGTCAGATTTGACTCTCTTCTCAGATTATGAATCATGTTATTCTCTCTGTCTTCAGTTCTTATCACTTTTATTATGCTATCTGCAGCTCTCTTCTCTCTTCTTCTTCACAGCACTACTGAGTCAGTTCTATTCAGAAAAGCATCTAAGTCTTTCATTACTTATTTCTATCTCTCTCTTCTGTCAGCTCTCTTCTTGAGCTGTTCTAATCATAGCATCTGTCTCTTGTTTAACCAGGTCTGATAAGCAAAGCAGAAGTAAGACAGATGTCAGATCTGCTCTGAATACTCTCTTCATACTGAATATCATCTTTTCAGACAGTGAGTATGAAAGTGACTCTGTCAGTGATAATGAAGATAACAACAATAGTCAGCTCATCTCTGAACACTATCTGGCCTTAGCAGAGAGTCTTAATATCACTCAGCTTTGACAGAAGTAGTATAGTTTCAGAACTCAGAAAAAACTCAATAAGATCTGTGATTACTGAAAGAGATAGACAGTGACTTATTTAACTCTCAGACTGTGTTATAAGCTCATCAGTGACACTGAGCAGATATTATCAGTATATCAAGGCAAATGTGAAGCAGTAATGAAATCAGATCTCTAATTCAGAGAAGACAGTTCACTTTCTGTATGTATTCTTTAGCTGATAATATGATATTTATCATGATAAGAATAATCAATACTGTTCAGACATTAAGTGCAAAAGCTCACTGAAGATATTTTGAAAGTAATGATATCTTATTCTTAAACAGAAAACAGCATCAGAACTCAGCAAAGATATAATTATCAAGATAAAGAATGTGAGTATCTTACTCTCTCTTCTCAAATTACTTAATCAGAAGCATCACTAATCTCTTACAGATTATTACACAGATAATCACAGAAAAAGAGCTGACTCTTGTTAAATGATCAAAGAAGAACATATATATTGAAGATATTACTGAGTTCACTCAAGTCATTCTCATCATCACTGAGATAATATTTGTCTGTGATTAACAGTATATTCAAATACTTCTCTTCTTGCAGCTTGCTGTCATCACTGTCAGTCATCTCTTGACAATTCTTTATCTTTGATATCAAGATGTCATGTTAACTCTGATTCAAGTTTCAGACAGCAGACATCTCTGATTATTCATATTCTTAAAACCAGAATTTACTAAAAGATTTCTCAGAGATAAGACACTGTATGTATTTCTGATCCTCGCAGCATGGCCTGATTAACTGACAGAATTGATAGAAATGAGTTTAAGATTTCAGAAATTATCTTTAATTCAACTCTGATTCTCAGTCTGTATATCTGTCTACTGACTCTGCTCTTTCATATTGAAGAATTCAAGTCAATTTTAACAAGTGAATCAGTGTTGAATTATGCAGAGAAACTCTACAGTATCAAAGTGCTAAATAGTAAGAAATAGCAGCTGCTACTACTAAAGAATGAATTACTAAATAAGTTTATATTTTATCAGACAGAGTTAACATTCATCAGATTTAAAATTTACTTAAATCAGAGAATGACTTCATTCATAATAAGTTCTCAGATGCACTGAGTCAGTGAGATCACAGACTTTAAGAAGATTATTCACTCATACAATCTCTAATATGCTGAAGCTAAGGCATTTAATAACAGTAGTAAGTAGCTCTTTATTTTCTTCATATTACAGTCATGTTAGAGAGTTAACAATGAACAGAGAAAGTTATAGAAGCTCTTTAAAATGTCATACTTCAGCATACAGATATTCACATCTTCATCAAGTATTATCAGATAAACATTGATATTAATACACAGAGAATAGTCTGAAAAACAGACTCTTAAACAGCATTGATGCAATTTGCCTGCTCAATGAGTGTATTCATTAATCTCAACTGACTGTATAAGCTCTCTTCAGAAGAATCACAGTTTCTCAATTATCTTTCAGTTGTTCATAGCTGTCAGAATACTGTTCAGAAGCATAAGCAGAAATGAGAGAATTATAAAGCTGAGTTAGAATATATTAACAGAGTATGCAAGACTTCTCTAGAGTATCTTGATAACAGAGTACTTACTGAGTTCAACTCTGAGATGCTGAAGAGACTGAAAGTTTTCTATAATCAGATAGCAGAAGCAAAGTCAGAGTATAACAAGACTATCTGTGAGTTGTGCAATGAGAAGTAGCAGCAGCAGAACTGACAGATCTGTGAGAATCTTGAGCACTATAAGAATGAGCAGCCTGTGATTGATCTTGAGTGACAACTGGTCAGAAAGCTGGTGAATATCAAAGTCATGAATACTTTCAAGCATGAGGTCTTCATGCCTCCTGAGCACTTAATGTTTGTTGACTGTGTGCTAACCATGCCAGATGCTAATCTTGAAGCAGAATATCAGTGAAGGATTAATACAATCAACACAGAAGTTGCATTCTGTGGCATGAAGAAAGAGCAGCCCTCAGTGCTCACACTGGCTCACACAGACCTGTGGCCAGCCCACAGTTGATGATGACCCTTGTCCTTCAACCAAGTGGCAGAGGTGCTCAGTGAAGAATAACACTGAGGTTCTCTTGCATCAAGCAATGGAGTCTGTGCAGGCCAAGTCTACAGCTGAACAGCCTCAGACCTGCTTTCAGCCTCATGTTTGCTTTCTCTGTGTTGGGAATCCTAGTTGCGCGCTGGAGGACCACATTATGAAATACACAACATCCAGATCACTTACAAGGCACTTTCTACAAAGACATATCAACCCTCCATGGCCGGCCACTGGGGTTGAGTGCAATGTTTGTGAGGGGAAGGTGCTCCCGGCCAAATCTACTCTTCTAAGTCATGCAGAGGAGGCCCATGGAACTGTTGTGCGGGGTCGCGCTCGGGAGAAACTGGTGTTGGAATATCAACAGAGCCTAGAGAACTAGTTTTGTACAATAGAGATATATATATATAATAAAAGGAGTTGCGGTTCTCACAAATCATGTCCAGCCTCACTCTTACTCAAATGCATGCTATATCAAAACACAAACAAAAAGCAAGTCACGCTACAATACGCTATCAACATGCCCGCTGGGAGCTTACTTCCCTCCATGTTGATGGTTGCCGCTTCGAGACCCTGACGGGATGCAACCTTCAAGAGTAATGTCTGCGCCTGCGACTTTTATATCTATTTTTCTTTGTTCTTCAAGGAAAAAAAAGTCAGACATTCCCCTGAGTCTTGTTCGCTTTCTTGAAATCTGCACGTAAACCCGAGACTTCTCTCTATGAGTGCCGCGAGATTCTGTCCTCCATTGCCTGCTTCTGCTGCTGCACCCATGAGGGGTAAAACGTCTAGCTTGAGTTCTTATTCTACTTCTGATACTAGCTGGGCAGATGTATGTTTCAAATCACCTCACCCCCGCAGAACCTAGTCTCATTTTGTTTTTAGAGCATTTTTGCTACGATGTTAACTATATGGTTTATGGTGCATATAGGGGCTTCGCGGCATCGCTTCGATATTCGTGGTTTCGAGCCATATCACTCTATGCTTTGCACGGGGTATTGTGCCCCCGTCAAAAGGGCAAGATGGCCCGTCCACGCTGTTCCAACGTCCGTTCTTTCGGCTGATAGGCCAGGGCAATGCATTCGTCGCGATATTCTTCGTCCTCCTTGGATTTTGTAACTCCCTAAGGGCCATCCAACTTTCTCGGGCCGGCACTGTCTCAGACGCACTCTCTACACTTTCTAGAAGCTCTCTTCGTAGGATTTGCAGGCTGGTAACCCCAGCTGCAGTTGTTACTGTCATATCATGGTCTCTGTGCCAGCTGAACTTTTTTTATTTGGCTCAAAGGTCGGATGCCTTTTGGTTGCAAAGCACAACTCCAAAGCCAAGTGATGCAATTCAGACGTCCCTGACCCATTCTCCCATCCATCTCAATAGAGCCACTCAATAAAGAAACTGAAGGTAGCGGGTTGAACATCCTCAAGTTTCACTTTCTGCTCTTGGCCTTCAGTAAAACGATCCCGTTTCAAAGCAGCTTTGAAATAGGAGGAGGCTTTAACTAAAAGGCGTGAGTGTAAGTGGAAGGTTCGGGCTGAGTCAGAGGGACCGACGATGACGGGAACAATTGGTGATGATAGATATCTACACGAGTGACGATGAGCTTTAATTGTTTGATGCCAGAACATGTAGAACGTCGTTCTCACTCTGAAATCTTTTCCTCATCGGGATCATCGAGGGCCGGGGAACTGGTCGGCGCCAAAGAATCCTCCGTGTTGGGGGGTGGCATTATGTAGCGGTAGCTGTAACAATTAACTGGCGCTGGGTGAGAATGAACAAGAATAGAAGGGAAAGGTTGTGTGGAAGTGGTGGTTATTCGCATTTACTCCATTAATAGGAGAATTCTCGACATGTAGTGGGTCATATCTTGGGTCTCGGTTTACGAAACTGCTCGGAACATACGCGGGCGGATGATGGAAGGCATCGACACCACTTCCTGCCTGGGGAGAACGATGAAATGAATTCATGTCTATGGCAGTAGCTGAAGTAGCGGGGGGGATTGAGAGTGAGCTTAGTAAATTAAGTGTCAATTTCCAGTGGCAGGGTTCGGGGAACAGATAACAGAAAACCCATCAAAATTTGAAGTTTTCAGCTGAACTTGAGATGGTCTGATATCTGAATCTGTCTCAATATAGATCCAGAGTGGACTCAGAGAATTTCCTAGTTGGCTCATGTGCTTTTGAGGTATGGAGTAGGGTGACGAATTCATCGACGTGAAAGAAAATACCGATCTACAGGCTTCTGCGAAAGAAGATTGGGATGTTGCTAATTTTGAGTGTTTGGATGGAAGAGATTTGGAGCGCACTTTGCATGTTTTTTCCAGAAGGGAGAGCGGCACTGAGAGCCAGAAACACATATTGGCCAGCATGGAGAAAAGAAAGCGAACTGCAATTAGCCGCCCGGGATACTCTCAAGGTTGACTAGTTAGTAGTCTTCAATCCGGAGAAGAATATAACTGGTCACACCATTCATATCATGTTGGCAAGAGTTGGGGTGTTGGGGGCAAGGGCCACGCAGTTCCAGGACGCGCCCTGAATATTAAGCTTCACATCTTCCAATCAAGGGATTGATGGATAAGATTGTGGGAAATACCCAGTTTCATACAAACTCTAAGAGGCAATTTCTCGAGTGATAGGCTCCAAAGGGCAGAAATGGGGCCGGGATTTGAGCAGACCCTCATCCTGCAAGGCCAAAAGCATCGTCCAGTCGGAAAATAGAATTGTCAATTTATTATCGAATGGGTGTCTGTGCTGCATTCTGTGGGGTTGGACAGGGGAGTCGTTTTTAATTTTAGTTGGCGGGTAGGACGCGGCGCTTAAGAAGAGATTACAGCTAACGTGCAGGCGCTAAGTTAACTAAGTTTCTCTGAAAGTTCCCAGTGGACACCGCGTGGAGGTGGGAGCTCGTCGTCCGCCTATCTGCCCGTCATTTCTACGGCCGTTGTAAGGAATCACAGGCTTAATCAGATGAGAAGCAATGAATTATTATTGAACTATCTGACAGTAAGGGGTGGTTCCAGTAACAAGATGTAGGGCAAAGAAAGAAACACTAAAAGCTCAAAAATCAAAGAAAAAGAAGTTCGCCATAAAACCAGGCGGCCAGAGAAAGAAGCAAAATAGAAATGTCCCTGGCAACCTTACCCACAGAGCTCCTGCTCACCATCGCTTCCTACCTCATCGAGCCCTCCGACCTCCTCACCCTTCTCCTCCAAAACCGCTACATCTACTCCGTCCTCCACTCAACCCTCTACACCAACGGCATCCGCCGCCACGGCTGCTCGGCCCTCAGGTGGGCCGCCACGCACAGCCGCGTTGTGACGGCGGAGCATTCACTCAAGCGCTGGGCGCATAAGATCCTCAGCGCCTCTTATCGCAAGGACGAGAATGTGGTAATGGGCGGGGCCTTTTGGGGATCTAGGGGAGGCATATATACTTTTCTCTGGGGCTAGACAAAATAGACAAACGGAAATGGTTCGAAGAAAAACCAAAGTGAGAGGCAAAGAAATGAGGGGCGTTCCACTCTGCATGGAATTTTTTGACCAGCTCCTAGCAGCCCGGGATCAGATCGCTCCGCGGTTGCCACATAGGCCGCCATGCGACACGGTACACTCTTATTCCAATGCAGAGAAATTGGCTAGGTGCAGTAGTAGACATAAGTTTTGAGTGCAGCCACCTTCTCATCTTCAAGCAATCAGCATCAATGCACGCCATACAGAGTTTTAGCAATATGAAGTGCTATTTTCGTTCATCACTTTAGAGCTTATATTCTGTTTACGGTGTAAAACGCGGAAAGACAGTTCGGGTGCCACTGTAGAAGCACGCAGAAGTGTTAAATTTTCTTGATGATACCGCTCTAATGTTATGAACTGCCTATGTTTTCAGAGTTGCTCTATAATTCTCTCTATGTTTGCTGTGTGAAACTTCATTCATCTTCACTCTAGAAATATGAGACTCTACTACATATGTGAAAGGCTGGCAAACGAGGAGATAGCTATAGAAGTACAGGAATCCTTGGCGACAGGAGGACATCAAAATAGCCAGTAAGAGACACCACCCCATCGAGCGTGCGAAACCAGGTCAAATGAAATACTAACGGACAGTCGAAACATAACCCATATGGAGATTCTCCCAAACTTGCCAACTATGCCAACCCTTCCTGCTTGCCCTTAACACTGGCCTTGTTAGCGGCATAAGTCGCGTCGCCGCCATCGATGATTCCTTCCGCCTCTAAATCGTCCAAAAGCTCGAGCACATAGTCTTGACAGTTATAACCCGCGAATTCATTGTGGATAACTGCGTTCTTTGCAGTGTCCTTGATAGCTTCAACTTTGAAAGCGGGCACGTCGCAAAGGTAAACCAGTTCCGCGAGGCTTTTTGATTCGCGGGCGTTTGAGTTTCGCATTTCGAAACGGTATCGAGTCGAAGAACCCATGGCGTGGAGTATGATCTTTTCGGAATCGGTGGCTCCCTCAACGAAGAGGCTCCAGTGCTTATATACACCGCTGTGGTAGATGGCAACATGGAGCTTGACAGTTGGAGGCATACTGAAAATCGCCGAGAAGTACCGCGAAAAGTTTTCAAGATGGTGTATCTGTAGGAGTGAGGCTGCGGGGAGTCCAGTCGACCGCTGGCTGGATACGAGGGGGTTGGAGGGAGAGTAAGAACCTAGCACGAGACAGGAAAGCCTTGGACGAATCTGGCACGTTGACTGTGAAGAGAGGATAAATTGAGCGAGGATGCAAATCAGAAGTCTGAGATGGAAAACAGCCGAGGGTTAAGGCTAATGGGGACATGTATCGATGGAGCGGTAGAGATATAAAGAGATTTAAGGGGAATTTTTCTTGTGAATCAAGATAATGGATGGAGGGAGTAAAAGCTGGGGATTGCGATGATTTTATATACAACTCCAAGCCGGACCCTTCTTATGTATGCCCACAGGAAAAGGTGCTTGGATAAACTGAGTGGTGTTTGGGATATTACCGTTCACAGCGGGATGATGAAAGGAAGATTGCTTCTGGCTATTCGGGAATTTGAATTGCTTTCAGACAAACTTTGCAGCAATAAACAGCGAATCATATGTGTCTTGTTGGGTGGCATCTCTGTAAATGAGGTTTCAGAACATGCATATAAGTGTTGGTCATGTTCTATGTATAAATAATTTGCTGATCCGTGACGCATGAATGAACTTGAAAGCATGCCTCAAAGTAAATTGAGCAGTATTAACCAATGACATTCCTGTGATTTGTAGGAGGACTAAGATCATGAAAAGAGTAATTGGTTGGTTTGAACTAGAGAGCTAAGTGGGCGATGAAAAATCCCGTAGGCGGCCCGCAGGGGATCCAAGATGATTGAATAACTTCGGAGCCTGGCGGCTAGCATAGGAGAGTATCGGTTGTTTGGGAGGGCGAAGTGAAGCCCTGGAATGCATATGAACCGATGTGCAAACAAAGAGAAGCGGCGCGTATGCATGAATGAACTTGAAACAATGGCTTCATGAAAAATGGTTTGAGTAGTGGCCACTAAGGTATTCCCTTTGTAAAAATAGCCTGAAACGCAGCAGCTAAAGGTTCCCTGTCATTTAAGTCGCGTTTGGTTGAACAGACCGCTGCTTATATATTAACTAGGTCACAGGTTCGAGCAACTCAGGCGCCTCAACTTCCGAACTCTGAACGCCATCAATTTGGTAGTCGACCAAGCGAAGGTATCCCGCCATCTTCTTAACGTGTAGGTAGGATAACGCTCCAATCGTGACAGCCCTGCTTCCAACATCTCAACCCCTGAGATGTCGAACGCATGAATGGTGCGAGTGAGAGTCGAAGCCATTTCTTTCGAAATGCTTTCCGGCGACTGGATGAAAATAGACAGATCCTTTAAATAACAGTGAGAGTTCAGATTTGCTGAAACAGTGGGCTGGAAGCTGGCGGTTACAGGCAAGCCAAATACCAACCAGCTTTTAGTATTCGCCCGCTTTTCAGATCCCTAGCACCTATAATAGTGAGCTTTTGTTGAATGCGCGCGCTTAAGTTTCAGATCGTAATAATATACTCTTGATGTTGGGCTGAATTTCATGCGAATAATATTACAGGGCTTAATACCGAATAGTTGGATATCATTAAGGAGCTACTAGGTGGGCGGTATACGCGATGTTATGGTCACGTGCCGGCAGAGCTAGGCGGCCCGCAGGAAGCAAACATATCTGAATAATTAAAAAAACGCGCTTTACCACAAAACTCTCTGTAATATATAGTTATGAAGCGCGCTAATTGGTCCAAAAACCTCCAGGCGATGGGAATTCCACGCGTTGCTCGAGTCCGTTGTACCATGTCCTTTTTAACTCCGTATTCTTCGAAGACGCGTAAACGCAGGCAAACAAATCCCAAACAAATTATTTACACGGTAAAACCACTGGAATCCCAGCAGAATCTCGGTGCTTGCCATCCTTTCACAATCGTCCTTTGAAGAATTCTCTTATCCTCATAAGCCAGCTTTTGTGTCAGCAATTATGGATGAGGCTGCGGCTGCACGGGGCCTCTCGCTCACACACCCCAACGCAGCACAATGGAACCACGAACTTATGCTTGAATTCCAAGCAGCACTCGAAAAAGATCCAGCGGCGGACCTGATGTCAATTATCTCTGATTCATATAGACGAGAACATCGAAAAGCTCAGTATTGCGAGCTCTCTTATGCAGCAAAAATTAATCTCAGAACAGTCGATGAGCTCGGCGATCAACTCAAGCACAAGCCAGAAGTCAACTTGCTGGATGTGTTTCCAAAGAATTATGTTCGCAGGATTAAAATGGCGACTGCCGGCCGTACAGCGCCGTCTGCGGAGGATACTGAAAAACCGAGTCCTCCGGAGTTCCGCACACGTCTTGATCTCGCTGACTCCGCCACGGTTGTCTTTCCATTGTCTGAGACAGTTACCGCTCTTCTTGCGAGGTATTCACACGCAGAGGAACCAGATGGTGCAGAGCAAGCACTGATTTCCTTCCTCAAACAACTGCTTTGGGACTCGCCCAAACTCTGGGAAAGCTCCATCAGAGGCGTGGTCGTCAAGTGCAATGAGGAAGTCGTTGCCAAAGTGATTACAAGTGATACCAATGACACCACAGAGTACACGGCCATGCAGTACCTCGCAGAACGCGCGCCCGACATCCCAGCCCCCAAACCCCACGGCCTAATCAGATTCGGACCCTTTCGCGTTATCTTCATGTCATATATTCCGGACATGACATTGGCGCAAGTCTGGTCCAGCCTATCACCCAAGGAGAAAGTCTCAATACAACAACAGCTAGATGATATTTTCCGTAGATTGAGGACCCTTCGCCAGGAGGATGGCAATGCACTTGGAGGTGTCAGTGGAGAAGGAGTGAAAGAGTACCGTGTCGATGAATGCGCCCGCTGGAAAGATATTACCACAGCCAGAGAGTTTAGCGACCTACAATTCTCCGCGTGCCACCATGGCAGCAAGACATATATCAAATTCCTCCGCTCTTTCCTCGAAGATGAGAGTGCTACCATGCGCGGATCCGTGTTTACCCACGGTGATGTCAGGAGGGAGAACATTATGGTGAAGCAGGATCCATATAATAACAACGCCTACGTGGTCACTGGTATTATCGACTGGGAAGATAGCGGCTTTTATCCCGAGTACTACGAATGCACGATGCTGACATGTACTCTGAGCCTGGTAGATGAGAATGACTGGTACCTTTACCTTCCGGAGTGCATTTCGCCGTTGCGATTTCCTGTGCGTTGGCTTGTTGATCGGCTCTGGGATATTCATCTCAAAACTACATAGCTGCCACAGTTGCAAGATGACAAGAAGTTGCCGTGCGGTACTATGACTGAATGAGAGAGAACCGACTGATGGAGGATTAGGGTGGGGAAAGCATTTGTTGTCATTCCACGATCTGATATGGGATCTTACCTGTCAGCGGGAAGTAATGATTTTTTCTAAAAAAAAAAGGGTAAACTGTCGACAGAACCTCGAGGCTTGGCACAACTTCAGAACACGTAGCATGCCTGACCGATTCAATTTGGAATTCTAGTATGACATCTTTGATGTATGTGTTTAATGTAAAATGTAATTGCATTTCTGCTTTCTCCACTACTGAAGGAGAAACTTTTGTTAGCAGTAGAGCTATCCGAATTGGTTAGAGGATGGTTCTTGATAATGTTGCGATCTTCTTGTGAAAGTCCCGCCACTTTGATGGTATAAAAGACCCTTAAGTTAGTGCGAAAAATTGCAAAGAGTGGGAAAGTTACAGGGTGGTATGCTAATTTTACCATCAAACATTTTCTTGGCCAAAACAAATGACTAAGCATGGAGCTTAATTGATTTTCGATTTGATTGGTTTATTCATTTCCACTGACGCTCCCTATTCGGGTTATCTTTGGACGTATTCAATTACATGTACGAGCTTAACTGTGCCAAGCGCTACTCACTACCATTAGTGAGTGCGCCACAGCGTACGGAAAACCACACCGTACAGAAAATATTATGAAGGTTAATCGCAGCTGGTGCAAATGACAACTGGCTTGATGATATCGGGAAGTACGTCTCGAGAAACCTAAGTGCCGCCAGGGATAATATCTGTCTGACCCGTTTTAAGTAACCCGATGTATACGCTGCTGGACTGCGCGCTAGTATCCACAGCCATGAGCGATGGCTCCTCGTTCGAATTTGCTAAATATTGTGGGATGATTGCTGGTCTTTTCGGCAGATCATTGGCCGAGGTTGGGAATGACTACCTAGGTAGTCGAGGATTTACAACACTTCATGAGGTCCTTCTACGAATCAATACCAGTCAATCATTGGAGGAGTTTCTCGACTCTTCATCTCGAGCCGGAGATATTGCCGCTTTGATTGACCAGCCAGATTATCATCATCGAACTCCTCTAACATGGGCTGTAGAATTTGGCTGGGTTTACGCCGTCCGAACCCTTCTGAAGTACGGTGCTAATCCACACAAAGCAATTCTCTCGGAACGCGGCAAATCTACTCTTCTACACCTGGTGCTTGCCGGTCCATGTTCTCAGTTTTCGAAAGGCGACTTCAATTCTGTTGTCGAGGTTTTGCTTGCAGAAGGCGTTGACATTAATGCGAGAGATCATGAAGGGTGGACACCATTGCATATTGCAGCATCATGGGGTTACATTCCTCGAAGGCTCGTGGATAATCATGGACTTAATTGGAATGTCTTGACGTACGATGGTCGGACAGTAGCTGATTTATCGCCCGGCAAAAATGCTTGTAATATTTCTGTAATTTAGTCTTCCACAAGAGCCAATAACCCGAATGTTCCATCTGTTTTGCTTTCCGTGTATTGTCGTATAATGTAGCGAGCAGACCCGGTTAGAATATCTTCACCTTCGGCCAGGGAGCCTCGGCTTATAGGTCCATCGACGTCACCATCCAGCTCGTACAATCGGTTCGAGTGTGTAACAAAACATATGTAATGGTGATCCACTTCATCTTCGGCGATGGGGACGGCCGAAACCCCCTTTTTCGCAGCCTTCGTATAAGCCCTACAGACTTCTTCCGAGTCTTCAAGATATTTAGTACGGTTGGGCGGTGCAAGTTTGGTTAATTGGTGAAGCGCAGACTCGGTTTCTGTGTGGACTGTGAATTTCTTTTCCCCCTTTATTAATGCGAACGAAAAGCGAAGCAAATCACGTACTAATGGAACTGGGCACGTTACAGACGGCGTGTAGGATGGCGTAGAGGCCACATGCATTGTTGATCGTCTGCTTTAACCAAACAACTTCTTCCTCAGCTCGGTTTGCGATAATTTGACCTTCAATCGTACGATGCTCGTACGCGGGGCAAGACGGGAGGATTAGGATTAGTGCAAGGACAGGGCGCTGAACAAGGCGCAGCTCTTCTTCTTCAAGTGAGCAGACATCAACGAATTTGAGAGAACTAGACACGCCCAAGTCATGCATCAACTCGGTAAATATCTCTGGATAAGACTCGAGAGGAATATAATGCTTTTTGTAATTCATACTGCGCTTTGCTGGACCAAAAATGGCTACGTCTAAAAGAAAAGAAAATGGAAAATGGACAAATGTTGGTTTGGAAGGCGTCAAAGAGCCAAATGGTGAGGGGTCATTCTCACGTGACAATCCACTGCCCGTCAGGCTCTAGTAAAAGTCGACGCCTATTTCTCTTTGGTGCAAAGTCCCATATTTGCTTGGCAGCTTAAACTGCATTGCCATTTGCCCCTAATTAGCGACGGGCTAGGAATCCCGGATAAGCACTCGGGCGTTTTCCTGTGTTTCGAATCTGGTCGAAAGAACTCGTATAGTCTCTGAGCTCGGGATTGTGTTTGCGCGGATAATAGAGGCTTGCTGTGGTGGAATGTTCCAGATGTGGGGGCTAGCCTAGACTGGAACTGAGGAAGAGAGGAACCGCTTTCCAATTCAATCAGTCGACAATTTTGGGAACAGAAGTCATCACCATCAGTCTGCCGGTCGCAGGACAGACAGTAGTTCGGGCACCAGTCTGTGGACATTGGAAGAAGATTTGGAGTTTGCGGCTGGAGAAGATTAAAGGATTGTCATTTTTCGTTGAGAGCCTCTCATATGTCATACTGACGTCAATGCTTCATCTTTTTTTAGCTTAGGGCGTTTTTGACTTAAGAAAGGCTGCTGCCCGCTGCCCGCTGTAGGAAGGCTTCCTGCTTGGGGGATATCATTCTCCCCGCTGGATCAAAAATGATGATGATGATGGTAAAATACAATAAAGATCAAACAGTTCCTCAAACCAACAGGTGCCTGGAATAGCTGCTGGAGACCCACCAATTACAGCGCTACCAGGTAACGAGCCTGATGGGCAGATTTTGGACGCTATCCGGGGTAACCCTTGCAGTGGAGCTGATGATATCACTCAATCAGTCGCCCTTTTTGCGCATGGCTGCGTTATTCTACACATATCGTGCAACGGGACGACACGGGAAGAAAATATTTACCTAGTGGCAGACCGCTGTGTGAGGCCTCTGATTGTATATTACCAGGACTTGGAAAAAGTCTAAAATTGAGTTGCACTCGAAAATATCGAGGAAGAGGTGAGTATGCTGAGGTAAGCAATCCCAAAAAACAGGCTAACCGGAATGTTGACCCATTGCCTAGGAGTCACAAGGTGGGGCAAAAGTTGTTCATCTGGACTACTTGCGCAGCCTGGTTAAGAAGATTCCGAAAGAGAAAATTATAAGTTCCTAATATTTTAACAAATTCACCAGAAGTCTACATAAAAAAGCGGAAATTTGCACTCTGATTTCAATGAGTGATGATACTAAAAAGCATTTGAATACACTTCTCTTTCTCATAGCCAGATGACTGCTCTTCTATGTACTTCTCACCATAGCAATCTCTCTACATGCGCATTCCTAATGTTGTCACTGCTGCTTTTCACAGTTTTCCTGGCCTGCAGCTCAAGCAGGTTGCATGGCTCTCTTGAATTGTGGCTCAGTCTAATATCACTATGTCAGTTAATGAACTTCAATCTAGGTTTGAATTGCAGCTGTATCTGATGGGTTTTGATCATCAACTCCAGAAGCATAATATATGAAAATAGAATCCTGATGTCTGTGAGGATTACTGCACAGTCAAAGTCATCTAATTTATGAATATACTGTCTTGTATATTCTTCCAGCCTCTTTCAGATATAGGCCATCTCTTCCTGACTAAGAGGTTTATACATTTGCTGAAAAGGCATTATCAGCCGGCTATCTGCAAGAGCTGTATGAATTGATTGAGTCCAATTCAGTACAGGTCTCGAGGGTTGAAGGTTCAGTGAATTTGTGAAAAGAATGATACAGATGACTTCCCCAGTAGTGCTTTTTTCACAATGTACAGAATCATGAGCTGTCAATTCCCAAATGAGTGTTGCCTGCACTGGAGATGTTGGTCTCGTTGAGCTAGTAGAGCTCAGAGAGATGTTGTCCCGAGACTCAACAGAGCTCTGCTGCTGAGCCCTCTCAGTCATGATTGTTTCTTGATCAATACTATCATTGTTTTCTGCGTTCAGATGTCAGTTACAACCTGTTATTAATAGAATGATGGGAGTTTCTGTTGCATCTGTGACAGAACTTAAACCACTGCCATCTCTACTGTTCACTGAGTCGGTCTCTGATTTCTTGATCTTACAAGTTTGAGTTGTTCAGGTGCTCATGATGAAAGTGTAGTGTCAGATAGTTTGCAAAGCTGAAATGACCCCTGAGGAGAAAAGGGAAGATGAAGTGATAGAAGTAAAGTGAGAGAAGAGCTGGCTTTATATGCCTTCGGATCTACGCTGCCTCTCCCCCCCCCTCCCTCACAAGACAAATTGGGAGCAACTGCAAATAGGCCGCACCATGTATGGAATTTGTTAGCTAATGAAATAGGGACTGATTTAGAGATTGTCTTTCACACTTCCTGTTGATGTGCATCTAGAATGAGATTTATAAGATAATTAACTTTCATTTATCAAACTGTTCTGTATGAAAAATGCAAAAGTATAGACAATCAAACATGATTCATACAATTTAAGTGATGTTTATAAAATTTGATCAGCTTCTATCACTGATTGAGCTACAGTATAAAATCAGTCAAGGTGAATCTTGCATCTGATATAAGATGAACTTATCAAGATTCAGCATTAAAGCAGTGTTATCATCAGATACAATTTACTAACAGAGAAATATGAAGCAGAAAGATAGAATATTTGTCTCAGTTCATCTTGTGAGAATGTCAACTCAGAGCTAACATCTTATCAGATAAAACAGCAGAGAGCATCTCAGATTGATTATTAATATTAAACTTTTCATTATACAAGTATAAAACTGAGATGCAAGAATGCATCAGATTGATCAGACTTTCACAGTGAATTAAGTATTCTGAGTCTGAGAACTCTCTGCAAGACTCTCAAAAGAGTCAGTGAGATTGATAATTATATATACTCTGACATAATTCTTCAGTTTTTCTCTTTCTTTACAGGCTTTAGCAACTCAGCTGTCTGCATCAGTCAATGTATCAGTAAGTGATGACTTGTGTTCATCTCAGATATACTGTGTTATATCAACAATCAGCATGTCTGACTACTTCATATTTTCTTTACTAGCTTTAGATATTCTCATTTTGAAACATTTATTCATCGCAGAATTAAAATCAACATTCTCATTATTCATAAATACAGAATTATATTTCATTTAAGTGAGTAGTATATCTGACATATATTTATTCATAAGCACAGGCAATTCTGATTCAGAGTTGTATGAGAAGAATATCTTCTGCTTCTACAGCTTCAGCTTAGAAGTATTATTCAACACAGTCTCTGAACACATGTCAGTATATACTCTCAGTTTTCAGTTGAGATATCAATTATCTTTATCTTGCTCAGAGCTGGCACACTCACCTGCAGTGTCTTCTGAGAAATTGAATTTGAAGATGATGAAATTCATCCTGGCTTCGCGAAGAGCTTCTATGAGTTCTTTTACATTGAAATGCTGATACTCATCTTCTGTTGTCATACTCTGCTGAGGACTTTCATTGATAGAGATATATAAAGGCATTTGAGTCAGTGAGAGAGTGATAAGAAACTTTTCATTAAGCTTCATTGCTTTAGACATTGTGATAGTTGATGAATAAAGAAGGGTTGAAAACTGAGTCTGAGAAACTAACTTGATAAGATCTGTGAGTGTCTTGAATGTCTGTTCATTGTCTCAGAATTTCAGGGGGAGAAATTGTAGTTTCTTATATATCATTCTGTCAATACTCTTCAGCATATATTCTTTCATCACTTGAATTATGTGAGATAGAGAAGAAGCTTGTTCTCACTCTCTCAATTAAGAGATGTATAAAACTGTGCTGTAGAATACATAGTCTTAACTCTGTTAACTGATATCAATCTGAAAACTCATCTAGACTGTTGATTTGAACTCAAGTATTTAGATTTATTATTGTAAACTTCATGCTGTCTCTGAATATATGAGATTAGATAATCAGTTGAGAAAAGATACATGTTCTGTCATAGCAGTAAAAATGCGTCACAAGCTTGCCAAGATGCAGATCTTAGTTCAGCATGAACAGTATAAATTGAATATCAGATGTGTTGTCTCTGAGCTGCAGAAAACTGATCAGAAAGAGAAACTGTCTGAGATTAACAATAATCAGAGAAGAGAGTGTTGACATAACTTGCATTAGTGTCATGAAGAAGTAAGAGAATTAGAAGAATTAGAAGAATTAAGAGAATTAGATGAATTAGATGAATTAGAAGAACTAGAAGAACTAGAAGAACTAGGAAAAGTTGAAGAAGTAGAAGAAGTAGAGAAACTAGAGAAATTAGAGGAACTAGAAGTAGGTGAAGAAGAGAGAGGTATAATGAATCAGTCACATCTGATGACTTAGCTCAGAGTTTCAAGATGAGATCAGACAATCTTACTTTCTTAAAGTTGATTAAAATTTCCTCATGCAGTTTGCTACAATAGATATTTACAGTCAATGCTCTTGCTAGAAGTTTTGATAAAGATTGATATAAGAGATGTTTTACTTTTCAGAGTTCTTAAATTACTGATTTTCTCAGAGAGATTCAATCTCAGTTTGAAAATTAAAAAACAACTTAAATCATAATTACTGATTCAGTTTGATATGACAGGCACAGTAACAGAAGATATCTTGATATGTCTTTTTTTTAAAAACTTTTTAATTCTATAGCTAATGTTTCTCAGAAAAGTCACTGAACAAAGCTAGTTATATTATCAGAATTCTTCAAGTATAATCTAAGCAAATATATCTGAGCAGAATTGAGTGAAAGAAAACTCTTCTGCTTCAAATATGAGAATATCAACTTTCAAAATGAAGAAGAGAGCCGGATTTGAAGCATAAAAGAAAGTGAAGAGATACTTCTTTCTGTATATATTAGTGTTTACATTGTCAAAGGAAAATGAAAGATTGAATGATATAATCAAGTGCTGAGTGCAAACAAGTTATTCATTATCTCAAAGAACTCAATGAAGACTAGTCACAGATGAAGAGTACAGTGTTGAGATTAGTTATAATACACTTTCATAATAACACAGTCAGTTGTTTCATAAAGTAGATTATTCTTCTCTTATATTCATAGCTTACTCTTCTCAATAGTATTGCATATATCAGAGCAGAAGATGAAGAAGACATCTGAAAGAGACATCTTAAGAAGAGTAAAATATGCATTGTCTACAAAGTCTGTTAGTGATTTATATTGAAAGTTTTTCATATTCTTTCACTTACTGAGGCATTCTGACATTGTGATGTGTTATATTATAAGTACTGAGTGACTGTCTGAAGAGTGTACTTGAAGAAGAGAGAATAGTCTCTCACTTATCTATGAAAACAAATCACTGATCAATTTATTATTCAGTTCAATATTCAATATAAGATTGACATTCTGAAAATCTTCTTAAGAGAACTTCATTCTCACACTCTCTGTTATTAAATGTGACTGCTTATACATCTGTATCAGAGAGCTCTTGATAGTATTGAAAATGCAGTTGCTAAAGAAATTATGAGCAGCTTTCAAGCTAGCTATAGAATATGCTTAATATTCATTACTATCTGTACATGTGATGAGTTTCAGTTGTGAAAACAGAAAGTTTTTCAGTATCTTGTAGTTAGGCTTCAGACATATATTATGTCTTATGACTATACTCTTCAAGATGTTTTTAGCTCTGATGTTAAGATAAATACAATTCTCTTTCTTATGCTATTAATAAAAGCAGAATACATTAAAGAATCTACATGCTGTTTCTGAGATAATGAGAATAAAAGATAGAAAGATATTAGAATTCTTGTGTAAAATGTTCAAATAGATCTTTTGAGCTGTTCTCTGTATAGATATCAATCTAGATTTCTGCATTGTTCATCAGACTGTGCTGCATTGCAGCTGAGGTAATGATTTGCAAGCAATGACAAGACACTCTTTGAGAGCAGTAAGATAGCTTTCAGAAATTGTTTAACACTAACTCAGTTCATCTTTTATATAATAGATATAAGACCATGTTGATGAAGTCATAGGAAAAATACAAGTAGAAGAAGAAGAAGTAGAAGAAGTAGAAGAAGTAGAAGAAGTAGAAGAAGTAAGTCTCTTATTCATTCTCTTCATCATGTGACTGCAACCTAGATATCAACGCAAGATTACGTTGACTAAGCAGAGAAGAAGTCGCGTCACTCAGCCTCTGAACATGATATCTGACATTTACTCTGATCAATGAAGTTAAGATATGTGAATTGTTTTACAACAGATATGCAGAGCTATTATGATTTGAAGCTACATTTAACTTTATCATCAAGCACAGAGGTGTAGAAAGTATACTCTTATGAACATTAGTTAACTTGTTCAGAGATGGTTCAGAGCTGTACTAATACCTGCTTCAGAGTTAAAACCTCTATACATTGAGAGAGCGGGCTGAAGTAACTTAACTCTGATACTAAAACTTCAACATTATATTTTAACATGTGTAAGAATTCTATATCATCATTTTAGAGTGAACAGGCTCTGAGTGAAGATAGCACACACAAATTCGTTCTCTTTTGACTTAGTATCTGTGCTGAGAAACAGCTTCAGCATTGTCAAGGCTTATTTATAAGTGATAAATAATGTTTACTTTCTCTTCTTTTCATTTAGAAATTTAAACACTCTATAATCATTATATGTTTTTATCACATAACTTTAGGCTATTCTGCAAGCATTAATATCTTGAGTATTCTTTCAAAACATCACATCATCAGTTGAAGAAGCAGAAGCTCAGTCAATCTTACTGAGATAATCTATCAAAGATTTGATTAATCAAGAGCATAATAAAAGAGTTAGACTGAAGAAACAGCTCTTCAGAATTATTTCAAAAGCTTTATAGACTTATCACTCAACAGTTTACTGAGCTGAAGCACTGTGAAACATTTTATTTTACTCTGAATATTCTTCATGATTGTCTGCCTGATTGCTTAAAGAAGATAGAGAGGTTTTCAAGATTGAGAGAATTTAACACTCTGAATAATCAGATATATCAGCAGCTGATACTTATCATATCTGAAGTTTCCTGTTAGATGAAGCAGATGTTTTTATGAAAAAGAGGTCAGTATATCATGATAATTACAATTATCTCATGATTATTTTTCTTTGTAAACTTGAATACTATAAAGAAATTCTCTTTCTTATAATTAACTATCTGATGAAGTTTGATGAAGCAATTCTAAGCTGAATTCAATTGAAAGTAAAGTACAAAGATTTGATAAAGAAGTTCTGAAGAGAGATCTGAACATATTTTCTCTCAAAGACATCTACAGACAAAGAACCCTCTGTTGTTGAAGATTGTGACCTCAATCTTTTGAAATCAATGGTTCTGAATGACTGAGATGTGAGTTTCAAAAAATACCCATGCAAGGATTTCTTCTCACGTGATTTCAAACTAGATCAAAAATCTCATGTTCATCGCTCATGCGTTGGCTACGGTGCAGCAGAAAAATATAAACTCATAACCCATCATGAGAGACCGGCTTTTACGGATCTCTCAGACTAATGATCTCTTTCCTCATTATATTTTCTCTCGGTAATCGCATCTGGTGATGACGCTGCCGGTTATAACGCTGATTCTTGATGGGTCACTTTGCCCACCTGCTGCAGGGCATGCGCCACTGGATTTTCCGTAGTACATGCGTCATTTTTTGTCTTCCTCGTTGGAACGTTCAATAATTTATGAAATTAGTTAGTTATGTAAATTTTCAATAGCCATACCACTGGGGGTTCGATACCGCAGCGCTCGATGTATGTCTCTGGACAGGTGTCCAAGGCTAATCAGACGATGATTATAGTTCCGGGGTATGTTGATGAGCTGTATTTATTCTTGGGCCCCACTGTGGGAGACCGGTTTGTATGAATCTCCCCAGTGTCCATGTTTGTGGTAATTGTATCTGATGATGATGCTGCCTGTTATAGTGCTGAATCTTGATTAGTTGTATTCTGGTGCAGGGCCTGCCTTGTTTGATTTTCTGTCTTGTGTTCCTCTTGAAAAGTTTAATAATATGAAAGTTGGTTAGAACTTACAAACATCTTTAGCCTATTGGCAGATGCCACAGAAACCACTGTAGCGAGAGTAGAAAAAGAGGCTAACATAGAACCCTGGGGGAGGACGGGCAGCTTTATGGAAGATCCAGGTGGACTCGGGGGTGGGTAAAAGTGACCATGGGTGAGTGAAAGTGAGCATGGGTGAGTGAGAATTGAGGGGTGTGAGGGAGGGTGAATGGGGAGCGCAAAATGAAGCAGCAAACTTATACTGAAGTAGCAGAAGCAGATAGAGATGTGAACAATATCAAGGTCAAAGAGATGGGCATTACCTATCAAAAAAAATTCAATGAAGCAATGTCCTGAGGCCCCGCGATCGAAAGCGCAGCCTGGTCACTTTACATACCTCACTAGTATAGGGGTCATTTTACTCTTAAATGCGGCTATTCTGATCATTCAAAAGATATGATAATTTTTACAGTGCTGTACAGTACTCTCTAGGAAATTCTCTGAGTTCACTCTGAATTCATATTGAGGTCAGGCTCATTTTGTATTTACCATCTTATGTTATTAATAGAACTATTCAAAATAATGCTAATGCTGCTCCTTGTTGATACTTCTGGCATAGAAGCATCTGGAAGGTTCCCTAACAATATGCAGCTACGGAAAGATGAAAAACATCATGAAGACTGCAAATTACAAGAAATAGTCTCTCATCAACTGTTAGTAAAGAAATACACATTATACTGACTTGGAGTTTATTTTATCTGATGGTGACCACATTCCATCATCTTGTGGCGTCGCCAAAACCTTGCAGATCAGCTTACGTCATAGAAAGTACTGGAAGTTCCATTCATGTACGCTTGCAATAGTTCAATATTCCACGAAATTTCAATCTAAAGATCAGTCACGCATCCGCTACACTGATGTAGGCGATTTCCAAGCCTGAGATATATTTACTAAAAAGGAAATCATCACTAACACTCAGTGATCAATCATAGCATGCTGATCAATCATCATGTATATACTCTTATATTATCTAGTAGACTAGTACTCCCACATCATGAAAGTTCTGATCAAAGTCTTCAGCATATTTCAGAGCTGTCTCAATATATATGATGATGACTGTCTCTCTCTTGATCAGTGTAAACACAGCTCAGACAATGTTCTTGATCTGAATTGCTATATCAGTCACTACACATGTAATGAATGTGATTACTTATCTGTCACTTATTTAAGCTTTTATTCATCAGTTTCTTCAACTTCTTTCTCAAGATTTTTGTGTCAGCATTGCTCAATTGTTTGTTCCACACTCAGAATTTGACTTTTCAACTTAGAAATTCATATTTTATACTGATATGTATCTGACTTTGCATTGCTGAGTTCAGTGTGATATGCTAGTTAGTAGTAAGAAACATGATTTCTTCAAAATACTTAAGCAAGTGAAGAAATACAGAGACAAGAGTATTGTGATACAGACTGTTAATACTGTGTTCACTCAGAAAGATATCAGCTTTGTCTAGAAGTAATATTATATTTCAGTAATAAATAAGATTAAGAACTTGAGACAGATATTCTTTCAGATTATTCACTTTGATTTCAAAATCATCAGCACATATCTATTGCAATTAGAATGAGATTATATATTAAAGATCAATGAATAAACTGAGTAGAGTGATCTTCTCAGAAGATTCACAGTACTTTTTACTATCAAGATTTTCTCAACTTCAGAAGACTTACTATGAAATATCAGAGTTAATCAGATAATCTGATAAGACAGCTTTCTAATAACTTACTATAACAAGAATATAAGACCTCTTTCTTTTTCAATAACAATGTTATCAAAGAATAATATCTCTGAGCCAGGTCTGTGACTCTTTATTATCATCTGAATTATAATTTTCTTTTCTTTAAAGATCTTCAAGTGATTAAATAATAATAGCTGACTTCAGTTGATGAAACAGATATTTGAAATGATAAATTCTGCTATTCTTATTTCATATTAGTACAGCTAAAGTATTAAGAAAGTATTGATACTGATCTTACACTCTTTTACTGAGACTAAAGCTCAGAATTATAAGGCTGCAGAGAATGTACTTCTTATCTATTATATTCTTGATATTTAGATTTAGAGGCTTCATCATCTTCTGATTCTTCTCTTTTTCATATTCACTATCAGAAAATATAATAAAATCATCTATATTCTCTTTCTTTACTTATGAGAATCTGTAGTTCAGATTCTTTTCTTTAAAAGCTAAGATATTAATCATCATCTAATCAGTCACATAAAACTTGAATAAGCCTTTATTTATCTTGAGATAGACAAGACCTTTATATTTACTGTAAGTGACACTTATAAGACTCTTGAACTTGCAGTCTTACTCAGAGAGCTCAATCTTAATTTTAACTTTGTAATTATGAAATTTCAGAGAGAAGACTCTCAGATCAGATATCTTTCTAATGAATTGAAATTTCAGAATCTGAAGTATCTTTATCATCTTACTGAATATCTTTCTGTTATAGTTAAGTAATTGATATTCAATCTCAAAGTGATTCTCTTAAGAGCTCAACACAAGTTCATCTAAGTTATAAACAAAATACTGAGACTACTTGAAACATGAATCAATTATAAAGATAAGCTCATTTGACTTGAACATTGCTCAGAGAAGCTCAAATGTAATCTCTTAATAGTTTAACAGAGAGTTTAAGTGATCTCTCAGCAGAGAGAAGTGTCTTTTCAAGAATTTAATAAGCAGATAAAGATGTTTTTCAGCAGTCAAATCAGCTTCAAGAATTCTGTATAAATTCTCAAGCTCTGATAGAAATTGAAAGAGAATATTAATTGATATCTGTCAATATTAGATCACTGTCTCTGTGAGAGTTATAAGTTAATAATTTACTGATAACTTATCTTTCTACAAACTGACAGCTCTTACATCTAATAATACATGTTGAAGAATATTCACAAGTTCAGATAATTTATAGTCAAGATAGGTCTTGATCTCATTTGTATTGTGATCTTGAAGAAGTCAGATCCTGTTCTTTGATTCATATGATTACTATCTACTATGTCAGTGTTGATTGATAAATACATATTCTTTGTATTTATCACACAGGTCTGACGGGTCTATGACATCTTTCACAATCTTGTAAAGATGCTGCTTCTTGTTTCAGCTGGAGAAGAGTCAGCTTGATTATCTCTAAGATTGAACTGAGCTTACATTTCATTCACAGTTGTGTACTCCATCTTTGATGCTCAGGTCACTTCCTTGATTGATTCCTTCTCATTCGCTTCTGTGTCTGGTTCGGCAGTTGGGCCAGGAGCACCAGACTTTGTAGTAGATTGTGAAGGGCCTGATGATTCTTTCATTCGGAGGACCTCCACCAGAATGTCCTTGAGCTCTTCCCTGGTGATGAAGCTGGGAATGCAAGGATTACTGTAGTTGGGGGGTGGTGTTGAGGAGGGAGAGGAATGGGGGCGTTCAGGGAAGACTTGGGGATTGGGCTTCATCGTGGCGTGGTTGAAATGTTAGAATTGTCTTATTGGGATTGGGGTTACGATTGGGATTGATCCTGTTGAATGTTTGTCTGTGCCTCAGGATTCGGGAGGCATCTTGCTCCCTTTTATGTTCCTGTGAACGGAGGTACTTCATTCTCAATTGCTGCCAACTTCTCTTCGCTCGCATAGGATTGTTCTGCATCATGCAGCTATGCTCTTTGCTCACTTCTTAGCCGTGTACAAAGATCAGGGCTGATTGGTGCCAACGCTGGTTTCAACTGACAATATTTTGGTAACGCCGCAAGCAATGTGTATTAGCTAGATAGCCGTTGAAACTCTAGTGAAGTTAGACTGTATTTTCATGGTAATTCAACTATAAATCAAAGGTATATATATTGTAATTCCAAATGGAATTCTATTGGATTTTCATGATAAATAGCTCATCTTCAAAGAATCAGGGTGACTAATAAGAGGCCCCAAGCGGCAAGTTAAGTTGCGATAATAGCCTCGGAAGTTTATTTCTCCGTGAACGTCATCCACCGAACCCCACCATTTGGGTGCCCGACAGTGCGTCATATGATGTTCAAGAAATAAATTGTTGAACGACTCGGTACGATGTGCTTTGCATTTGTATATCCCGTCGTTGTGGCAACTGCTATAAGTGAGTAATCTTTATTTTTTGAGATTATATGAAGCAGTATTGACTCCACCTAGGCCCTCACCGTTAGCTATTTCGCACATTCCAAGAACATTTGCGGCATCAGGTCAAATCTATCTCGCTGCTTGCGCACGATCTCCTTCCCAGCCGATCTACACTCCTTTTAGCAGCATGCTCCGCAAATTCAGAGCCCCAAAATTATCAACGGATGATGAACTGAGAGATATATGCTCCGAAGAGGTATGTTCCCGCCTCCTACTTAAAAATGGCATCTATTATAGGATCTAATAGAAGTAGCTCGGTTGCGATGCGTGCAAAATCGAAGCAGGACCCCAAAAAGAAATAATAGCTCCAACCTCCCCCCCTACAGGCACAGTTGCAGTCATAGTCGACATATCCAACCAAGGTGGTGCTCTCAAAGTTCACCGGACGTCAGACAATAGTTGGGGGAATGTGTTTATTGGCATGATTGGATCAGATGACGATGAAGAAAATATCAAGAGCCTAGTTATTGTGCCTTGGGACGCCACATGGTATTATCGTTCTATCGGAGATATAAAATTAAAGTATGTTGTAAAGGGACGTTAGGCCATGATTATTGAAGGAATACTTGATGGCGCTGTGCACTGAAATATATACACAGTTCTTGCGAGATAGTCAGTGTTATGGTTGGTAACGACTGGTTGCCATACGTTTCTGTTAGCCACACCTTACTTCCAACCTGGTCAGACGAAAGAATAGCCTGAACATCTTGCAAAGTCAATTCAAAGAGACGCCCAGAAAGTAGACCTAATGTACGTGTTAACTGTAAGCCTTTAATTTCCACTGCGAAACATACCTGTTTGACTCTGCCTCTCTATCTGTAGGACGTCGGAGATGAAGTCCGTTTGCCCAGAACCTAGCGGAGCACCTCCCCCTAGAGACTTCGAAGGTTGCTGAAGCTCCGTTCGGTATTGCAGGTCCGCAACTGGTGCTTCACTCTCTAATGCAGTGCGTGTAGTTGGCGGTGCTGTCAAAGTTAGAATTTATAAAAATCATGAAGTAGAGCTATATACTTTTCTTGAGACATTCCTCAGTAAGGTGCTGCAAGACGGGGCCTGTTAGAGTGCGCTCGTGGTCTTTTATTTCGAGCGGCAAACGGAGGCGGATTGCTTCTTTCATCGATGCGATCACCGATTGGCCAAGGCCAACCACGCAGAGCATGACAAACTGTGGTCCACAATCATGATCGTTCAACTTCATTAAGAAATCCCGAAATGTGTCCCGTCGCTCTCCCGTTTTCGTACTGGGTACGGGCTTGCGTTCCCCAGCGAGCAAGGCAAACGCTCCTCGTATGCGTTTTTCTTCATGTGGCTTTATATTTCCTCGTAGCTTTATCGTCTCTGCCGCTTTGAAGAGCTTTGCCATCGCATCATCGACCGATAGTATTGGAGGCATATTCTTTAATGTTATAGGCAATAGAAAGCAGTAAGAAAATCCGTTAGAAAACTGTTGGAATTTCCATGTTCTTCCATAGGAAATCGCTCACTATTTATAAACGGGGATCACGTGCGAACCTGCCCTTGACGATGATCCTATTCGTGGCCTCGGAGAGCAGTCACGCGGCCTTCGCTTTTTGGATATATGGACGGCTGTTAACTCACTTCATGTTTTGGAATCAAGTCACCGACAATCTCTGCGCCATATGCCTTGCCTGGTCTCTCTGAAACCATCTTGCAAACGACAGGAGCCTGACTACAATCTTGACCAGCCATGACATCAATTGAAAAGGCTGAAGCTCGACGGGCGGCCACCAGCATATTGGGATAATTTGTCAAGAATTTGGTTAACCAGGGATGCTTTATGAGAATTCGATCGGCGCAACAGCCCTTCCAACAGCATACTAGAGTTGGGACAACATCCTTGTTGGCCACTAACTCAACAGCTCCGGGCGGCACTAAAGCATCATTGCCAGATTCTTCCTCTCGACCCCTTGAACAGCTGCAAGCCCGAGAGCCTTAAGGAGATAAAGAGGCTCTTCAGGTGGGGCGGGCCTGACTTGTCCAACCTTAGGAATGTATGTAATTATAGTGACATGCTGGCACTCATGCTGACACCTCAGCTCAGTTCCCAGATCCTCATATCTCTTTTTATCAATCAATGAGCACAAGCAGTTCAGGCCGCTGGAAGTGATGTGCAGGGTCTGCTTCAGATAATAGCAACAATAAGATCACTACAAAGACTACAAGCACTACCACCTATAATTGAAACTTTCAACAAAATCTGGTTGATCATGATATCTATCCCCCTGGATATAAGTACCCCGATGGCCAGAAACCGGCTAAACTGAATAACTGGCTTGAGCTCAATGAACAACTGGCGCAGTCTCAAGCTTCTCTCTCACTCTCAAAGTTCTTCAAGCAAGAATTTGAAGAGTTTAGAGAGATGAATGTGAATGTATTCAAGGAGAAACCTATTGTATGCTTGGTCATTTTGATTATTAAAGGCCATATCAATGATGTTAGATGTATGAAAGAGAACTACTCATTTGAAAACCTTGCTTCTCTAACTGATGACACACTGACAAATGTAAAGCTAGATCACTTTTTTGATGCTCACTCTGAACAGCTAAATCATCAAATCTGTGATAATCTTAGTGACTTCATCATTTCATCAACACAGAAAGATCTTCTGATAGCTTCAAACTTCTTTCAAGAGGCTAAAGGTTCTGACAGATCATCTGCTGTTGCTATGTGGCAAGCTTGTTATGATGATGCAATGAGGGCTTGAGAAATATATAAACTTCAGTTGTATAAGCAGGATGAACCTGCCTATGATAATAATGCCTACACAATAACATCAACCTACCAAGCCGGCCAACTCAAGCTCTACACAACACATCCCACTGCCCCCTGAGAAAGCAATGGCTGTTCTGAATACATTATGACCCCGCTAAGATCATTTGTGATGACTGATAACTCAGATACTTTTTGAAGCAGGGCATCCGTGTATTGAAATGCATGGGATTGGGCAATGGAATGGAGGGACGAGTTTATCAAATCTGCAAACAAGAGACACATGCAAGCATGATCTGAACTCCTCTCTACATCTGAACATGAGGCAACCTCTGAGCCCACTATCATCCTGGAGGACTCTGATACATCAGCCACATCTGATGAAGCCGAGTTCCACGATGCTGCACAGTGGAGCTTTGCACACACAAATGACAGCATTGAGGATCCTCCGACTTCGACCGACCAAGCATACTAAAAGAGCACGAACCGGAGCCAGCTCAATTAACAGTGCTAGTGGCAAGTCTCTCCGAAATTAAGTCTTCGGCCATTTGTACGTAGCCCTGATACCACCAAGTAACAACGAATTCCCTTTTTTATTTACGGTCATTCCTGGCGTTATTCTCATGCTTCAATTCTGGAAGGTTCTATGGACACGTGTCGAGCATCCCATGAATTGTCAACAATCACGATGCTTACCTCTTTCTTTATTTTGTCTTGTTTGTTTGCTCTTCCCCCTCATTTCTTTGTCTCTCTGCTTCTGTAAAACATTAGCACCATTGACAACGACGCTACCGGCGACGCTATACAATTCATGGTTTCCACTGGCGGGAATGTCATTCATGGTAAAAATCGAGGGCTTGGGTGGAGATCGAGGCAGGTTGGCGGTTACCTCAATGATACCTCAGTTCAGCAGCTATCACGGGATATGACAAGCATCAACTTCCGGAACGCTCGAAATGAAAGCTCATCTTCACCAGGCAATACACCACCCATTTCTGATGATGGTGGGGAGAAAGCACGGGCGAGGTTTTACGCTCACGCCTAAGTCTTCTCTAGACATACCTACATCTTCTACTGGTTTAGCGGAGGGTCGACCAAGCACCTCACCGATGACATAAGAGTGTTGGGTCTCCGCCGATTCAAGTGCTGCTTTTGAATGTTAGATTTCTGTTGATCGCTCTGCGTTTCTGGTGTTAGGTGCATTGGTAAAGACTTTGAGACAGCTTCTTACTTCTACCCATCAATTTGTTTATTAGCTGCTGTGTGATATCAATTCAGGAAGGGTAAGAGCGCTGATGCCGTCACAGCAAGAGCAAGGGCAAGAGTCGCTCGGTATCATGTCAGCCCTGTTTTCAGTGCTTCAGGGCATGAATCAAATTTTATGTAAACCTGCAACTTTCTGATAGTTATTTGTTGTTCTCAAGGCATTTCCCACCAAACTATAGGCACGGCGATGTAATACTTTACAATTAATTTTAACAAGTCTGATGCTTCGAACAGCCACTTTCTACCACCAGACAGAGATATAGTGAGTGCCATGCATACAGCCCTGGAAAGATATTGCTCTTACAGAAACAGGAGAAGCATTATCCCCCTCCATCTCAAACAATGTGCAAGAGTTACATGAAATATCAGAAGTCTAGAGCAGGGAAGAAGGGAAAGCAAGAGAAACTTGAGAAGAAGCAAGAATAGATGAAAAGATTCTGTAGTAAATTAGGTTTAATTTGAAACCACACTAAGCTCTTTTTGGAAAGTAAATCTAGCCTAGGCTTTCATCTAATCCCATGGCGATCCATCGTGTTTTGAAACTGGGATACATGAAGTTCTTGAACTATGTCCAGGTAGCAGGGGTGTTCAGGGCTGATTGTTTTGAAAGTTAATCAGCCCCACTGAAGAATGAAGCCATTCCATTTCTATATTAGCAAATGCAAGCATCACTAAATTACTTGTTTAGAAAGCATGCATTCACCCTAATATTTCTAGCCATCGATTTAAGTTCCCGCTCTATGTGTACAAGCTTTCCGTCCGACCGTAGTTGTTGAACTCGTCGACGAATTTGTCATTCGATTTCGCGGCGAATTCCATGTGTTTGTATGTCACATGCGTTCCCTCAACCATAGCCAACGCATGGGCGACAGACGTAATATTTTTGATCTGGTTTGGAATTGTGTCAGAAGAAATCTTTGACCAGCTATTGTTTGGAACTCACATCTCTGTCATTCAGAACAATTGATTCCAAACAGTTGAGGTCGTGACCTTCAATGACTGTGGGTGGTTCATCTGTAGACATCTTTGAAAGAAAATATGTTCAGATCTCTCTTCAGGACTTCTTTGTCAAATCTTCATATTTTACTTTCAAGTGAATTCAGCTTAGGATCACTTCATTGAACTCAATCAGACAGTTGATTGTGAGAAAGAGGATTTCTTTGTAGTATTCGAGTTTGCGAAGGAAAACCGTCACGAGGTGATTGTGGCCATCATGGTATGCCGACCTCTTTTCAATAAAAACATCTGCTTCATCTAGCAGCAAGATCGCATTAAAGTGCCTAGCGATCTTGAAGATTCGGTCAAGTGTCACGTCCAGCTTGAGAGGATCGCCATGATTGGCGAACAATTCGCCCGCCGATATCTGCAACGTTTAGCGCGGAACATACCGATTCCTTTGGGATTGCCGGCTTACCGAATAGAGAGGGAGCCTAAACCGCTCAGAAGTTGCCTCAACAGTGAAAGTCTTTCCAACTCCCGGTGGCCCGCTAGATCAACCAACGCCTTTATTAGTCAAAATCAGCATCAGGGATCTGCATGTATGACGCCGCGATCACCGCGCCGTTCAAGACATTATGGTACTGCTGGAGAATTGTCTCGAGATTAAAGCCCTGCCAGATCTGGAGCCCACGGATATCGAGATAGCTGTATGCTTGATTGGTAGTGTTGCGGCCTAGCTGGGGTGGGGGGTGGACCGGAACTGCCGCCAGTGGCTGCTGTAAGAACGTGATAAGCGTGACCTGAGCCATAAGATGAAAAGAGAGATTCAGACCTGGAGCTTTTTAATAACTGCACACATCCTAGGGGAATTCTTCTAGGACAATTAGAACACATTTCGGCTATATATATGTGTGTTGGAAACCAAGAAAAACAAATTATGTCTTCGTAATAGGGCGATGCCTGAGAAGCCGCAGGATATGGGGTGTTGTTGAAGTGGCACAAACCGAATTCAATTGGCTAACTGAAGAGGCCCAAGTTTCATACTTGTTGCTGAGCGGTGACTCATCCAAAAGCACTCGACCTGTCTAGCATTTGTATCGAATGACAACCAATAGCTCCTCCACAAGATGTACGTGCTTGACACAGCCTCGTTAAAATCGCAACCGCAGTGGAGCCATATGGTCGAGTCCATCGGGGTAGAATCAAAATTTCTGGAATATCGAAATTGAGCAAAACAAATCAAACTATTCCCTGCTCTCTTCTCTCTTAAGGCTCAACCTTTTCCCGCAAAACCTAGAATTTTGAAGGGGAACAAAGCAAACTCGAAGATCGAAACACAACATCTCATGGATTTTACTGACATTGATCCCTCTGAAATAACATTTAGGTGAAAGCTTTTCAGCTCAGAATTCTCAGAAATATTCCTTGTTCATATTCGCAACAAGATATGTATAATGAAAGTGGTCTGTGTACCTGGAGTGTTTCAAAACATCAGTTCATTCTAACATTTGGGACAGCATCATGACAACAGGCCAGTCCAGCCCGCACCTCCTGAGCGCGAAACAAACATTCACATCTGCAAATCAACTGCCTACAGATGACTAATGAAGCACAGCCTTTGCAACCGCGGAATCGTGCCTCAGTTCTATGGGACAATGGAATGGATGAACTTATCACACTATCAACCTCACCTGAAGATGTTTCTTAATGACAAGAATCCTCCTAGCGTCATCCTCTTGAAGTACATTCCAAAAATGGAGATGATCTATCCACACAATTTTACAAAGGAGTGGGGAGAGGCTTTGATTCATGGCATTTAAGAGATTCACAGAGCATTGGTTCTGCATTGTGACATCAAACCAAGAAACATGATGATTGTCAGGAATGACCCAGAAAGAGTGGTCTGGTTAGACTTCGACAGAGCTCAGACCTATCACATAGATAGCCTTATTAAGAGACAATGAGAATTTATTGAGAATGAAGAGCTAATGATGTCTCAACTCACAGATTCACTTGTGAGTGATCTACTATTTACAGCAACTTAGGTCATAGTCAAACACTAATCAGAATCATAACTTTCTTCTTACAGGAAGCTGATCATGCATGAGGTGAGATTGCTGAGACTTATCTCTACTACTGCATCTAGTCAATTTCTCTGCATTGAAATAAGAATGCATCTGCGGAGATGGCGATGATTGATGGAAATATTGATAGATCATTGAAGAGGCCATAATTTTTAAAGTTCAAACCATGAACAGGTCTGAGTGCTAAGGAGCTGTCAAGGCAATTATTAACTCTCATTAATTCTTTTTTAACTCCGCTTGCCATCGCTCACTTGAACTGTTAACAAATTCTCTGACTTGAGTTACTTTATTATAATACAGCTCTTGCAGATAGCCGACTGATAATGCCTTTTCAGCAAATGTATAAACCTCTTAGTCAGAAAGAGATGAGCTACATCTGAAAGAGACTGAAAGAATATATAAGACAGCATATTCATAAATTAGATAACTTTGACTGTACAGTAATTCTTGCAGATATTAGAACTCTATTTTTGTATATTATACTTCTGAAGTTAATGATTAAAACTTATCAGATACAGTTACAATTCAAATCTAAATTGAAGTTTATTAACTGATACAGTGATATTAGACTGAGTCATAATTTAAAAGAATTATACAATCTGCTTGAGCTGCAGGCCAGAAAAACTGAAGTGATGATAATAACATTAGAAACACATATGTAGAGAGATTACTATGATAAGAAGTATATAGAAGAGCAGTTATCTAACTATAAGAAAAGAGAAGTATATTTAAATACTCTTTAGTATTATCACTCATTGAAATCAGAATATAAATTTATGCTTTTTTATATAGACTTCTGATAAATTTGTTAAAATACTAGAAACTTATAATTTTCTCTTTCAGAATCTTGTAAGAATAAGTGCTCGCAGGCGATTATTCGGGTGTTTGCAGCTTAGTGTGATATGTACTGTTAACTACTAGAAGTATTCATGATAGAAAGATAAAATGTAGAGGTTAAATGTATAATAGCATTCAAGCTGAGTTATGAATAGTATTCACAAACTCCAGTCTATATAGTTGTGTGTAGTCAAGAGCTGCTAGCTCTATTGATTATATAAGAGATAGAAATAGAGATAAAGAATTCACAAGAAGTAAGATTTCTTACATATTCCTCTCTCTCTAAGGCTTCATTCATGAAGTCTTTCACTGAGTGACTTCATAGAATCAGCTCAGCACTGCAGTGATACTCACTAAAAACTCTTCATATCTATAAAAAACCTCAGTGAGGAAAAATCCCTTGTTATTACAAAGAGAAAAGAGTCTGTCACTCAGTTTCTTATTCTGTAAGATTCTTTATAACCTACAGATTCTTCTCTGACTATCATACAGATTCATCTCACATCTTTCATATAGAAGAGTTTCAATTGACTCTCAATTATTTTTACAAGATTCTTGTGTGATTATTACACAGATTTATCTCACAGATGAATTACTCTCTGTGAGATCACTCTTATTAAAGAGAAACATTTATAAGTTGATCTTTCACTTATTCTCACAAATTATTATTCTTTGATATTGTAGAATTGTGAGGAATTTTCCATTCTTTCATTAACTCTGTAGAATTGTAGAATCAAGATATTCACAGTCTGTAATTACTCTTTATAGTCATATAGAAAGATTCAGATCTGTGATTCACAATCACTCTTATTTACTAGAGTAATCTGACTGTTTCACAGAATCACTCACAGTGTAAGTAAATCTCTCTAGAGTAGTATAAATATCTCAGATCTGTTCACAGAATCTCATCTTCTTTTCTCTTTTTTTATAACAGCTCTCATTCTTATAAACTGTGAGTATTTTCATTCATCTGTAAAGTGTTTTCACTCAGATGACAGAGAGAGAGTATTTCTGACAATGTCTGTATATTAATTCAAGAACTTCTCAAGAATAAAAATTTTTTCAATTTTAATATCTTTATAAATGATGTCTGACTATCACTGATTCACTGAGCTTCTTGTAAGTGTTCTCACAATTTCTCTGATCACTTTTTATCAGCTGATGAAGCAGAGACACTGCTGCTCACAACTGTATCTTCATCTCTTTCAGCTCTGTCATCACACTCAATCTTCAGATCAGCAGCTCATCTCATCTCTTCTTTAGATCAGTCTCTGACTTCAAGCAGTGCAGTTCCTCTCTTTACTGTAAGTCTTCTCATAAGTAATTTCTTACAGACTCTAGCTGACAGTTCTTATAAAGCTCTCAGTGTTATCAGTGTCTTCTGCAGCTCTGTGAGCCTATAATCATCTCTCTTCTGCTCACACAATCTTCAATCAGATATATATAAATATGTCTAAGTTTCTTATCAATGATTCTCACACTGCAGTGCATTTCTGCAATCTCATTGTCAATAAAAGATAAGTTCTCAGATACTTATAAAATTCAGGTAATCAAGATAATGTGAATGTCATGAATTTATGACAGAAGTTGATCTGAGTAGATGAGCTCTCTCTTCATATATCAATTATTTTCAGGCTGAATACTTCAGTACAACTGAGAGAGCAGACACAGCTTTATAAGAAGTATCTAGTCACATGTGCAGATAATCAGTCTTCAAGACTCTGTCACAACTATATATACTCTGATGTTCAGCTTCTCTGAAGTCTGTGCATTTCTGACAGTCTTCATACTAAATATAACAATTGTCTGTATCACAGGTATAATACTTTCTGCTTCTTTAAAGAAGAAAATTAATAGTTGTGAGAGATTTAAATGTCACAGATATTGATAATATGAGTATGAGTTTTCTTTATTTTTTCTTTATTAATCTCTAAATTGTATTCACAGTTCTGTTTATTTTCTTGTTTTTTAACTTTAATAAGAACATGATTTCTTCTTTTCTTACATACATCACAGACTGTTTATCTCAGTAGAAACTCATTATCTTGTAGACTAGAGTTCACAAATGACAGTGTTAATATCTTTATCACAATCAGATTCTTAGCAAAGACTGCATTATTCTAACTTATCAGAATTCACAGTATGAAAGTCATGTCTCAGCTTCTGTAGATATCTTATCTACTCAGATGATTTTCAAGTGAACTTATTTATCTTATCAGAATATTCTTATCACTGAATCTTGAATCAGAGCTCATGATCTTGCTTCTCTAAGTCAATAATTTCTTTAATCTGATATTCTCTTTCACTCTCTAGTACTTTACAGATAGAGTGATGAGTCACAGAGTTCTCTTCTAAGAATTTCTTATATTTACAGAGTAAAGAGATATGAAAAACATTGTACATCTGCAACTCAGATAACAGTTTCAATCTATAGAACTGTAAGCTAACTTTCTTCATAATCTTATAAGACTCTGTTTATAAGAGATTCAGCTTCTTACTAGATCTCTGTATAATAATATTTTCTAGACTCAGTCAGACTCTATCATCTTTCTTAAAACTCTTTGTAATATGCTTAAAGTTATAGTATCTCTTCTGATACTCTTGAGTCTTTCTCAAGAATTCACAGACTTTCTTCTAAATCTTCTGAATTCTCTCAGCTCATTCACAAGTATCATCACACTCTATAGTGTACTCTCACAGATTTATCAAGATCATTCATGAATGAGTCTCAGTGAGTATCTCAAAGAGAGTTTTATCTATACTGACATGCTTTAAGTTATTGTATACAAACTTCATAAGTGATAATCAATACACTCAGTCATTCTGATTATAATTAACAAAGTATTACAGATACTGTTTTAATATACTCATCAGATATTCTATCTAAT